TCGCTAAGCAGACCCAGGAGGCCCCGCGAAGCGCACGTCCCGGGTGGGCGGTGCCGCAGGCCAAGGCGAAAACGGTCCAGCCTCCCTGGCCCGGAGGATGCCGGGCTCCTTCGGTCTCCACGGACCCTGAAATCCACCGCACGGGGCAGGCTTTGCACGACCAAGGCACCTTCGAAGTCGCCTTCCTGTCTAAATCATCTCCGAGCGACACCCGATGAGAGCTGGGTGTGGCGCAGCAGGCCTGTCTTCTCGGCACCCTGGGAGGCTGAGGCGGGAGCCTCCGCAGTTAAGTGTGGGCCGTTTAGAAAGACCTTGTATTAAAAATAAAGAGGGCTGGTGAGGGAGGCCAGGTGGGAGCGATGAGGCCTGATTGGCCCCTGGGTGAGCCCTGAGGAGAAAGGGCGTGCGAGCCTCGGGGAGAAGCGGAGGCCCGGAGGGTGCGCTTTTACCTGGGGAGGCACCGCCGAGGTGGGCGGCAGAGGGAGCCTGGGAGACGGCCGCGCCCGCGTCTGAGTGAGTAAAGCCGAGAGGCGCCGGCCACGGGGGGCTCCACGTCGGAGGGGGAGAGAGCCCCCTGCCCCCTGGTTTTTTCTGTGGTGCTGGGGATTGAACTCGGGACCTTGTGCTTCGAGGCCGGGGGCGGAACCCTGGTCCCCCAGTTTGTAACCTGTTTCTGCGCCTCCCTGTGCTTCGCCGCCATGACCCTTGGTCGGGTTCGAGCTTGTCGGCCGGTTCCTAGCGGATGGGAGTGTGTGGGGCCCACAGCCCGAGCCGAGGCGAGGGGAGCTCGGGGCCACAGCACTTCTGCGGAGGAGGGCCTGGCTCCACTGTGCTGCTGTGGGGTTAGTGCCCCCTTGGGAGAACACAAGGTTCCCCGTGAACTCGTATTCAACCCTTACAAGAGGGCTGCGTGGTTCCCTCCCTAGCCCAGGCACCGCCACTGTCCCGAGCCACTCCCTGCCCTGATGGTTGTGTGCACTCAGCCTTCGGGAATCTTGGTCCTGGCCCTGAGCTCCCAGCCCCCCACTCATCCGCACCCCTCTGTCTCTGTCCTTTTTTTTTCTCATGGAGTTTATTGGCACACTTTAGGGATACAGTGCAGTTACGTTCATCATTGGGATCTGTACCTCTACATGACAGGTCTTGGTTCTTAATTTTTCCCCTTGTCCCTGTCCTCCCTTCACCCCCTCCTCCCCTCCCATTTACAAACACTTTATTTCCATTTTTTTGTTTTCTCCTATTTTTTCTTTTCCCTTATTTCCTTTCCCCTACCCTTCCCACTTTTCCTACTCCTTTAGCCCTTTTCTTCCTATTTCACATTATCAATTCTATCATTTGGATCGTATTTAGATTTTTGGATTTTTACACCAGAGAAACTATTGGGTGTTGTTTTTGTCCACAGCCGCTTGCGGAACAAAGGTTCAGGGACTCGGACTGGGAGGGCAAGGCGTGGAATCACCAAGCAGCCTCCGGGGAGGTTTCTGGAACGCTTCCGCTTTTAATAAGTTCAGCCAGCAATTTAGAAAGTTTCGAGAGAGGGCGTGGCAAAGGCGGAGTCATACATTTGGCATAATGGGATTGGTTAGCGGAGTGTCCTTGAGCGAGGCGCTGGAGGCATCTGATTGGGGGGATGGGCGAGGCCACAGCCGGCCACAGACGAGGCTCGACGCCCGACCGAGGCCTGTGCACTGTGCTAGGAGACATAGGAGCGGTGCCCTGTCCCAGCCAGAGCTGTACCTCGCTCACATCGCCGCCTCTTGTGTTTTCGCCTCCATCGCCTCGGCCTAGAGCACTACATTTTTATGGCTTTGTTTATATCATCGGGCAAATCACCTTAATGATCAGGAACACTAAAAGAACACCAGATGTAGTTCAGACATACGGGGATCCAAGAACTGACCCTTTTGCTCAAGAACTTAGACTTTTCCACCCAGTAAGGACGCCGGTCCAGACCGTGTCCCGGACATGACCGAGAGTAACGACACCTAGAGCCTGAGTATCATTAAGCTGTGTACAATCGTTCGGGGTGCGCTTTGTAAACGGTGGTGAAATGTGGGGCCCAGGTTTTCCGCAGGTAACTTGGCAGATTCCTGTATCGGTCACAGTGATGACAGAGGTAGGGCGTTACACAGACACGAGAAAAATCGGCGTGACAGCGGCTCAAAATCTTTGATTCCGGTCCTTGTACCTCTTCCCCCGAGGGACTTCTCACCTGAGCACGGGGGACGTTGGCACCCGGGGCAAGGAGAGTAGGGGTGGACCGGCGGGCCTGAGTCCGAGAACCCTAGAAGAGGCAGCGGCACAGTGCGAGCAGATCGGACGGGGGCCGGGATTCCGCTCGGTGGTTCCGCTGCCTGCCTCGCGACCGCAGAGACACGAGTTCGATCCCCGGTGCCAAAAAACCAACAGACCCCGGAATGGACGGCAAGTCTGAGGGCTGTGCGGGCGGACGACGTGATGGGGCTCTTTGAAGGCTTCCAAGCGGCGTGGGTGGGGATGAACGTCCCCCACCACCAACAGGATGTCGGGAGGGGAGAGCCGCGGGCACTGGGGTGGGCACAGCCGTCTGGAAGACCTCCCACAGGCAGGCACCGGGGAGCAGAGCCGGGGGCGGGGGCGGTCCCCGAGTGGGAGCCTCG